GAATTTTAATGAGCATATCAAGTGACTGGTTGCTAAAAAAGTCTGGTTGTTTAGCTGGGAGAGCACTCAGAGAAGCAAGAGTCTCTGAAACACATTCTTATTCTGGAAGCATCCAGACTCAAGTCCCATCGGGGGAAAACCACAAATGGCTGCCTCAAAGATGAATGTTGAAATTGGGAGTTCTCTATTTCTACCACAGATTTTCTGATAACTTAATCAAATGCTATTTTTATTAAATCAATTAGTATGCATGTGGACTGAAGTGCAAGACATTTTTTAGCCCAAGAAAGGGAAGGAATAGTTTTGACTGTTAAATTTATTCTGAATGAAACCTTTTGGCTATGTGTCCAGGTAGGGTTTTTTTTTTCAGGGAGGAAGTAGTGGTAGGCAGTCCTGGTTTTTGTGCACTGATTTCAAGGTGATGCAGCATAACTCAGGTATAGAGGAAGTAAGGTGTTTTCCAAAGAGGCATTCAGGAACTGAAAGTACGAAACCAAAAGAAGAGTCTTGGGGTGAGATTTCCCCCAGAGCCCCCACATTGGTGCAAGTTGTTCATTGCGTGAGGGCATCCAGCTGAGGCTACACATTGGGGCAGAAATTCAGCCCCGAGCTCTAAGTCACCAAGCCACGGGGCCATGCCCACATGGGGATAGGCTGCCTCTTTCAAAGGTCCTAAGTGCATGGGGCCCAGGGATGAGCTGTTGGGTTGGGAGTCAGCAGTGAAGGGGAGATGTGTCACCAGTGGTGTCCAGGATACTCTTCTTTGTATTACAGCTAGAGCTAGAGCTTTGGGGGGCATGTTCTCCCAGAGTCTTTGTTTCAGTGGGACTGAAGTATTGAGTTGACCAAAAAGTTCATTTGGGTTTTTCCCTGAGATGTTAACGGAAAAACCCAAACCGACTTGTTGGCTAACCCAGTAGGAGAGTTAAGCGGCTTGCACCGTTCACAGAGCGGTCTGTCGTGGCTAATCCCTGAGGTCACCCTCTCAGCTGCACAGGCAGTGTGGGGCCTGCATGAAATTGGAGAGAGTTCGAGATTTGAACTCTAAGGATTCACTCCTTAGACTCCTCTCTGCTTTCTTGCCCCTCCTCACCCCCATCCCATGCTGCTCAGACATCAGCTTCAAACTTTGTCAAAGCAAAACAAACACAGAAACCACTGTCTCTTCACCAGTAACCTTGTTCAAGACAGAAGCACTTGGAGTTGCCAAATTCATACTAAGGTGTAAATAGCTAGGAACAATTAAGTATCACCTTCCTCAAGGGTAGTGTTTTAATGCTTCAATAGCAGGTGAACTACACCTTCCTAGTGGACTTCCAGGCCATGGAAAGTGGTTGGAATTTTGTTTGGGTGTTTAAGGCAAGAGTGGAGACCACTCTATTCCTGAGACCACCGCGTCGGGTCCGGGGTGGCCCCATAACAAGTCTTCCTCAGTTTCCATCTTCTTTGTTCCTCGTTGCTTTTGTCTTACTGTGTATGTCGGTCACCGTTTTTGGCTCCCTCTTCATTCCACTGTTCTTTAGTTTGACCTTGGCTTTTCATCTTATCTCTGAACTTGGCCGGACTAGCATTTGTTTTCCTTCTGCTTAGGAAATTCTTCCTTAATTGCCTTCTTTCCAGGCAAGCAAACTGCTCCATGACTTATACTGCATCTGAAAGCTTCTGTCTTTTAACTATCACATCCCTAAAATCTACCTGCTTGAAAGCATCAGATTCTGCCCCTTTCTGAGGCTTCAGTTTTGAAGTCAAAGTTCAGAGCATCCCCATTGCTTGCTTATCCAGAAGCCAAGCCCACAAGCCCAGAATAGAGAAAGGAGAACTTCCTGAGAGTCTGTTTGTTAGAAGCTTTTAGAAGACAGAGATGATGTCTTTTTCCATTTTTCTTTTCAGTTTTATTGAAATATAAGTGATTTACAATGTTGTGTTAATTTTTACTTTCAGTTCAGTTCAGTCGCTCAGTCATGTCTGACTCTTTGCAACCCCATGAACTGCAGCACGCCAGGCCTCCCTGTCCGTCACCAACACCCAGAGTCCACCCAAACACATCTCCACTGAGTCAGTGATGCCATCCAACCATCTCATCCTGTGTCATCCCCTTCTCCTCCTGCCCTCAATCTTTCGCAGCATCAGGTTCTTTTCAAATGAGTCAGCTCTTCGCATCCGGTGGCCAAAGTATTGGAGTTTCAGCTTCAGCATCAGTCCTTCAAATGAACACCCAGACCTGATTTCCCTTAGGATGGACTGGTTGGATCTCCTTGCAGTCCAAGGGACTCTCAGGAGTCTTCTCCAACACCACAGTTCAAAAGCATCAATTCTTCGATGCTCAGCTTTCTTTATAGTCCAACTCTCGCATCCATACATGACCACTGAAAAAATCATAGCCTTGACTAGACAGACCTTTGTTGGCAAAGTAATGTCTCTGCTTTTTAATATGCTGTCTAGGTTGGTCATAACTTTCCTTCCAAGGAGTAAGCGTCTTTTAATTTCACGGCTGCAGTCACTATCTGCAATCATTTTGGAGGCCCCCAAAATAAAGTCAGCCACTGTTTCCCCTGTCTCCCCATCTATTTGCCATGAAGTGATTGGACTGGATGCCATGATCGTAGTTTTCTGAATGTTGAGCTTTAAGCCAACTTTTTCACTCTCCTCTTTCACTTTCAACAAGAGGCTCTTTAGTTCTTCTTCACTTTCTGCCGTAAGGGTGGTGTCATCTGCATATCTGAGGTTATTAATATTTCTCCCAGCAATCTTGATTCCAGCTTGTGCTTCCTCCAGCCCAGCATTTCTCGTGATGTACTCCGCATATAAGTTAAATAAGCAGGGTGACAATGTACAGCCTTGACGTACTCCTTTCCTGATTTGGAACCAGTCTGTTGTTCCATGTCCAGTTCTAACTGTTACTTCCTGACCTGCATACAGGTTTCTCAAGAGGCAGGTCAGGTGGTCTGGTATTCCCATCTCTTTCAGAATTTTCAAGTTTATTGTGTTCCACACAGTCAAAGATATTGGAATTTTTTACTGTACTACATAGCAATTCAGTTATACATTCTTTTTTTATGTGTTCTTTTCCTTTATGATTTTTTCTACATGTTTTTCTTTCTGTATCAAGTCTAATAGAAGATAATTGGTATTTTTCCTCCTTTTAAAGTGATTACGAAAAAAAAGTGATTACAATGGATACTAGAAGCTGAAACTGGACTTTGCTATTTAAAATCATTCCTTGATTTAAAGCAATTGCTATAGCTTTTCTGGGCTTAGGTTATGCCACTGGAGCTGAAAATCACACGTTAATTTGATCAGTTTAGGAAAAATAATCTACCACCAGGCAGCATGGCCAAATGCACTCTGGTCTAAGAAGTCAAATAGCTGAAGTGGAAAGCTCATATATAAAGGCCCACTCTGTCCATCTGTGATTTTTAAAGACCCTTCATAATTTTCATACTCCTCCCATCATGCAAATTAAACACTTGAAGAGTCTCCCATCCTTGGAAACATGGAGGTTTTTAAATGCCAAAAAGCTAGGATCATACTCTCCTTTATCCAGAAGGTAAAGGATTTGCATATTTAATCTCAGTAGACTCCAGTGAAATAGTATATGACAACAAGGTTCCAAGTTTTGTTTTTTCCAAATAAGGGGGAAGCATCTTATATGTATTTCAGAATGCTATAGGGGTGGTATAGTACTTCATCTTCTCCTACTCCTTCAAATGAGTTTTTGTTTTGAAAAGTGTTGCTAATGTGTGATTCAGAACCTTTGATGGTTTATGGTGCCAACTTCCTACTCTCCAAATGTGCCACTTTTTTCTGTCCATGGTCTTACATCGTCCCCCTAAATAGAGCCCAAGTCGATGCCTTAGTGCCGTGAATTTCTCTCCAGCCACTTGCTGTACTTGGCATTTGAGGACCTCTCAAGGCTGTCCCCATCTCTCTAAGCATGAGGATAAGAATCAGAGCTAATTGAGTGCAACTGCATCTCTCTGCTTTTTTTTCTCAACCCAACTCATCCAAGACAGGCAATTCAAAGGGAGCATCTTTTTCTTTTAATTTCCGAAGTTTTTTATCCCTTTTATCTACACTTGGCTGTGCTAAGAAACTCTATGCTGATTAACAGATTATTAACCAGTGTCTTCATCTGGCTTAACCATGTTAACCAGTATCTTTAGGCACAGGTTAAAGAAGGGGTGAGCCTTGCTTTAGAATACAGAAGGAATGAGAGGTTTCAAGACTGTTTTCTTTGGTGGAGGGAGGTGGTTTGGAGAAGAGTATAGGCTGGTCTCCCTCAGAGGAGGCTTCAGCCTGGACTCCCATCACCTCTTAGAAATGAGGAATCAAGAGATTAGTGGTTGATGTCCCACGGCTATGTTTCATTCTCAGCACAGAGAGTGCAAACATCTGTTTCAGCATCTGCCCACCACATATAGCTCACTTTCTCAACTGGCTAAAATAGAGTCTTTCATTTCAGCAAACAAATATTGCATGTTTTGTGTGTGGAACTGTGCATTATGTGCTGCAGTGGAAATTGGAAAGAAGAGGGCATGGTCTCAGTTCCTAGGCAGCTTATCACCCGGTTGTCTAAGCCTCGGAGTTGAGCAAGTATTTTAAAAGGGTGATGTTCTAGAGATGTCCTTTAAGACAATTATAGTTAATATAAGTGTCTGCTCTTGTGGTTGTGATTAAACACTTCACTTGATGCTGTGACTGCAGCAGAAGTTCCATTAACAACTCACCCACAGCCTCCCACCCCCGTTCCTGAAGACCCGGGTTCCCGGTAGTTGGTACGCAGTTATGAATTGATTCCCCAATGTGGGGAAAAGCTAATAAATATGATTTAGGATGAAAGGCGCTGGGTAAATGCTTGAGCTGTTGTTATTACCATTGCCGTGCACCTTATTTTTAAACTGTGCATCCTTTTAAGTAGTTGACTCGTTCGCCCCAGTCTCCATTATATCTAAGCAAAGCATTCACAGAAATTTCTAAAACCTTTTCATTTCTCTCTGTAGGTTGTTGTTTCGTAACATTTTATACAAGAAAAGCTGCACTTGAGGCCCAGAATGCACTGCACAATATTAAAACTTTACCTGGGGTGAGTCGGTTTACTTTTGTACCAAAATCACTTTATTGCTTGAAAATGGTCCTTTCAACTGAAGGTTCTAGTGATGGGCTCTTAGTGCCAAAAAATGACTTTGGGCTTTTGAGGCGGGTGTGCTGACTACCCCCTCACCCGGCCCCCGGTCCCCGTTGTAGCAGCCAGAACTGCTGGCCAGCCCTTCAAGAAGCGCTGGCATTAATGCTGACAGAAAGACCTCTCCGAGAGCGCGTCCCCTGGTCAGAAAATCGGAATGACCCCACTGGGTCGCAGTGGCTGCTACAGAGGATTGGGTGGGCAGCGATTGTAAGGGGAAAAAAAAACTCACGCGCACACGCATGCAACACGCGAGAGGAGCAAATGGAAAAGCAAAAGCTTTTACTCACCAGGAGCCTCTTTTCAAATTTAGTCCTTAGATTTTTCTTTTGAAAGGACAAAATGTACTCTGCACAGCCGTAATATTCAACCTCCTAATGGCTTCTAAACAGTCAGTGGTGGTTAACAAAGTCAATGTTTTAATGCCCAATTTGCGGCTTCATGTCGATAGAGAACAGAAAATTCAAAGCTTACAATTTTTTGTTTCCATTTCCTTCCCAGTCATATTGGACATTTGGTACCATTCACTAGAAATGAACTAATGTTGGCTGTAGCTGCTGCATCAGAATACATGATTTCTGGGGGTTTGTGACCGTTTTATCTAGTGCATGCTGGTGTAAATTTCTCTGTGCTAGTTGGGATATTTTCCCTGTTGATTCAGATATCAGGGATGAGTTTATTTAATGGCAAAATGATGTGTGTTGCTGATAATGAAGAACCTCTGGTAAGCAGTGCTGTGTTAATGATTTTATTGCAACCTGGTTTGATAAGAGTAAAAGAAAAATAACAGGATGTCCCTAATGTTTTCAGGGTGTAATTGTAACGTCTTATCATTTATCTGTCATGCAAACCTATGTATACAAGTCATTTGATACCCTGTCACCCTCAGAGAAGATAGCATTTGTTTAATTCACCTTAGCTCCACTGAAAATCATATATTTTAGTGGCAAGATACTCAGTAAAAGGTTTTCAAAACATTAACTTGGTAATAACAAAAAAGTAGTAAATTATGAGCTGTGGTCTCAAACCACTCCACTTTGGTTTTCCCCTTTTTGTGTGAGCAAATCAGACAGAGTGGGATTCAGAAAAGCAACTGTGATACCAGAATTCTCCCTCCTAATTTAATTTAACTACTTCTCTCTGAAACGTCTTAGGTACTTTTTTAGTAGGGAAGATTTTACTGGGTCTAAGTGCTTTGCCTGATGATTTTTTTAAGTATTGTTTCAGCTTCATTCCCTATATAATTGGAATTTTTCCAATGTAAGTTCTGGGAGGTTGCAGTGTTAGGTTACATTACTGAATGAATCAACCAAGGTAAATATTTACTGTCTATGGTAAGAAAAAAAAATAATTTTTATTTCCAAGGTTCCTAATCCAACCCAGAGACCACTTGGTATTCCTTCTTTTAGAATGAAATACTTTACAGTAATTAATGTACAAAATCCCTTCTTTGTGTTTAAACAAATTACTTGAGATGATTAATTGTTGTTATAGCATTTAGGGTCTATCAGTGCCAAATCTCATCCTATTTTAAATTAATGTGAAGCTTGGTTCATTTGAATTCTTCCCCTACACTAAAAGGAGCACAGCTCCTAACATGCCATTTTCACGCATGAAGAGATGCTCCTCAAAACCCAGAGTCAACGATTGGGCTGTGCTGAAACTTGTACAAATGACTGATGAGCTTGCTTCTGTTGGGGACATCGGACATCTTACTCTGACCCCTTTCTCAGCAAACAAATAGCATCTTCTGTATTTAAAAAAAAAAAAAATTGTTACCCATGTCTCTTTTTTGCTTTAAAAATTTCTGCATGCTGAAGTCAGGGCTGCTGATTTTGGAAACCCATTATTAAGGACAAGAATTCTGGGGTTGGAAAAGATGGTTTGTGGATTGTTTTCAGCTTTCTTTTCATCCGGTTCAATTTCCTCTGCCCAATTACTTGAGGCAGGTTAAGTGAAAATTCTGAGAAGTCAGGTCTGATTTGTAAGCTCTGAGGCTTCACAGCACACACACTGTTGCTACATCTGCCATTTCAAATTAGGTGAATGGGAGCAGAGTTCCACATCTCGCATTTATGTATTGCTTTATCTGATCAGCATCACCCTTAACAGCTCCAGCAAGAACATGAAAGTGGTTTCCTATCAGCTGGGAGCTTTGGTGGACGGGAAGAAATGGGTCCAGACATAAAAGATTAATGCATATTCTTGGGCAAAAAATATTACAGGGTGCCTTGCTGTTTGATTACAAGCCTTGGAATTAGTCAACATTTCCATAATTCTAAACCAATATACACCTGTTTTCCCACTGTGATGTGAAGGCACAACTTAATTTAATAGAATCCCTGCTGTGCTAAATCTCTCATTAAATACCAAGCAAGTTCAGTAATTTAAAGTTGTAGCACTACTATTTTAACTGGTTGCCTTCCTATTATGAAATTAATAAGAAATTAATGATGTACTTTGCCATATGCCTTCAGTTTCTTTCTGAATAAAAATAAAAAGGATAAAGAAAAATGCATCACCAGCTGACACTTTAAAGCTTTTCTGGTTGTAATCATTTCTCCTGCAGATAAAATCCATTAAAAAGGCACTTGCTGTCTTTTTTTTTCTAAAGTGTCCAAAACTTTCCATTTAAAACAAGATCAAATAGTGCTGGGTGTTTGGTTTGCCTTTTTTTTTTTTTTCCTGTTTAATTTTCCCTTGCAGTTGATGTGTTTTGACATATGGAACTTTTCATCATGCAACCAAACTTGGTGAATGTCAAGGAATTTTCATTCTTGAGAGAAACAAAGAACTTGGTTCATTTGGAAGAGAAAGAAAAGCTGATGGGCTGTTCTTTTATGCAGTTGAAAATTCTTTTATGCACCCTTCCTCCTATGTAATGTGTGGATTATAGAGACCCTTTCCTTGGTGAGGTGTAGGGTGAAGCATCAGGGTGTTACTTAGCTGCACAAAGTCATCACGGATACATCTCTTAAGCCTGTCTCTTACTGTGTGACTGAGAAAGACACTGGGTCTTACATCCTCTGAAATGCTCAAAATAAATCCTAGAAATACACTTAGAGGATAAGGGAGCAAATTCAGCACCTCTACATAGGGAGCAAGAAATGAGCTTCACAGGGCTGGGAGGTCCTGCTCCTCATTTGGTGACACTCTGCTCTAGAGACAGTGGTTTAACACTTAAGGAAGAGATAAAATCTTAGGCACAGGGCATGATTTATTACTAACATTTCTTTAGGTTAGCGCTTCCCTGATGGCCCAGCAGGTAAAGAATCCACCTGCAATGCAGGAGACACAGGAGACGCTGGGTCGATCCCCAGATCGGGAAGATCCCCTGGAGGAGGAAATGGCAACCCACTCCAGTATTCTCGCCTGGAGAATCCCATGGACAGAGGAGCCTGGCGGGCTAGAGTCCAAAAGGTCGCCAAGAGTCAGACACACCTGAGCACACAGGCCCGTTAGGTTAACAAACCACTCATGAGTGTCGGCGCTTCTGGTGTGCCAGGCAGCAACGCTCTGCAGTGACCACGCACATGCCCTGGAAGCCCCTAGTGAGCCTATGACCGTGTCTGTGCAGAAAGGACCACTGGATGAGTCACTGGTCTTGGAATTAACTTCCGAGCCTGACCTTTTCCACAGCTGAGCCATTTGTGTCCTTGGACAAATCCTGACTGCCTCTCCTTTGATGATACAGCCGATCAGGCTGAGAGGTACTGTCTTTGCTTAGGGTTTCGGGCAGGCACAACCTCACTGGTAGAATTGCTCAATAGAAATGTCATCGTCTGCTACGGTGCTTCCCAGAGAGAAAAACCCTGTGAAGGCAACTCTCGAGATTCATTTTGTTTTCCCTGACCTAATTTAGCTTAATTAAAAAATAAAGTAACGACCTCAGTGGAGGTCCAGGAAAACTGCCACAACCCCTTCAATAATCAGGTGTCAGGGCCAAATATCCCCCTGCTCCAGGCCTAGCGCCACTCTTTTTTCAAGGTCTTCACACACATTGTCTCTTGCAGTAAGGCTTTTTGATTGAAAATCTCCAGCAGCATCGTTAGAGCATTCACCGTATAAATTAATTTAATTAAGGATGTAATAACAGAGACGAATACAGTTTTGAAAAAGCTCTTAAATTTGAACGGCAAGGAGAAATTGGAATATTAATTGCAAATTTCTTCCAGCCACTTTCTCCAAACCTGCCTCCCTCCTTTCTAAGAGTCCCTACCAATTTTATTAAATGCAGTTTATATTAAGGAGTTACTGCCCTAAGCGCACATTTGTTTAGAGCGCTGCACGTTAGCCGTGGCAGACGGGAATGACACGTAGAGCTGAGAGATAAAAACCAATGGGCTTGATCCACCAGGAGGAAGCTGTAAATGAAATGCCCTCTTGGGCCACATGTGCTCGCCCGCATGGCGTGAATGCCCCGCTTCCCGGCTGGCCCTGTGTGGGCGGGCAGCCCTCCCCGGCGGCCTGGAACACAGCCTTCCATAGCATTGTGCCCCAGTGTCCTCTCAGAGGGGTGCTGGGGCTTTGTTTCTCCCAGCAGAGCAGCAATGACTGTCACCAGGACCGAAGTCACTTTGCCCACTGTAATGCTTTTCCAGGGACTCACTCACTCTGCACCACCTCTTCTGGTTATTAATATGTCCTTAATGTCTTTGTTCTCAGAGCCGTGGTGATTATTTTATCATCATCATCATCATCGTTATTTCTGTCATAAAAATATCTCAACCTCCATCTCTTCCTATCATGGAAATTTCCCCCTAAACCATCCCGTTTGAATCAAAGCTTGACGAGGTTGTGCTCAAAAAGTGTTTTTTTCGCCTTGGGCGCCTTTTATGGAAAATTGTTAGGAAAAAAAAGGCAAAAGATCATATGAAGAGATTTGAGTCTTCAAACTCCTG